AAGTTATTGTGTAAAAGGAAATTTTGTTAAATACAATTTTCAGTGTACTATGATTCCTTTTACAGTGCAAACTACCACCCACCCCAATTTTTGTTTGGCATATTTGTACTTTTGTCCCCCAGTGGGTTCTTCAAGCATGCAAATCTATAAAATGCTATGGATTTAAAGGGCCTTAAAGCAGATCCCATTCTATGGGCTGGACATTTGTTACAGGGCCACTTTTCAAGGAGTTTACAGTGAGAACAGACAGAATAGGCATATGAAAAATAAGGCTGAAGAATGTCTTTTAAAACTTTTTCTTGAAGGGTGTACATCCTGAAATGCTACCAAGAGGATTTAAAACAACACATCATAAAAACACAAGATTTCCAAGACCAATGACACGGCCAACTGAGCTGATGCAAACTCTCTACTCAGTACAGCTAGAAGGTACAGGTTGAACCATCAACGTTTATTTCAGATATATAAATGAGGTCACAAGAAAGAAGTAAATATCCCCAGGTGCCAGGAACACAGAGGGAACTGAAAGAGCTGAAAGCAGTGAGCTGAGTCTGGGGTACCAGGGGTAGCTGCCAGACCTGGAAATAGGCCTGATGACCAGAAGCATGGGTTTTCATGCCCCTCAGGAGCAGGAGATGAGGCCACAGGCTTGCAAAAGACACAAAATGGGAACTGAGATGCCTGGTAGGATAGCAAACCAGGGACTGAAAATACCACCCAATGGTGCAGGGAAATGAAAAAAGCTTGTCCCCAAGCCAGGAGATAAACATAAAAATTGGTCCTGGGCCAGTGACATCTGATACCTCAGGACAGATGGTAGAAGCAAATGCAAAGGGCTCTGATCCCCTCGAATATGAGCTTCACATTCCTGAAGGACTTTATTGTTTGCACAGTGCTTTCACAGGCAGAGAATGTTATAACCATTCAATGGATAAAGAAATGGAGGCTCAGTAAGGCTGAGCCATTGTCCAGGATCACACAGCAGGTAGAGAAAAGAGCTGAGCCCAAACCCAAGTCCTTCCCATCTGCAGCCCAGCCTTTAGAGTATGGACTTGCAGGGCACCTCCTGGGACACCCAGGAAATAGGCAAGCTGCTGCTGCAGACACCCTGGGTTCAAATACAAGTGCAAAGGTGCCTCGCCTAAAATGAATGCCAGTCATATCCTGGCCACCAAGGGACATGTCGTCTCTCCTTCTGTGACTCCATGCTGCTCATCTGAGTAGGGAACATGAGGAGAGGGCCTGGAGGGTCTAGTGGGGCCTGGAGGAGTGCTTGTCTTCTAGGTTGACAAAAAGCAGAAGCTGCTCCCATGAAGTGGGAGTCTTTTTTTTATTTTTTCTTGAAAGCCACTTGAACTTTGTCATTCCAATTAAATTTATCTCTTCTTGTGTTTGCTTAGCTTGTGGGCGGGAGATGTCATTACCCTCTCCTAATTTTATGGAAAACTACTTACAAGTGTCAATTTTTGAAATGGCCACTAAACTCCTTGGCCTCAAAACACACACACAAGAAATCTGACTAAAAGGAGGCCATTGGGAGTGGCTTGAAAATTGCACTATCTAGGCTCTAAGGGAGAGAGGAGTCCTTGCCTCATGTCTGTCATCTTGGGCTACCTGCCTCTCCATCTGTCAGGCTGTGGGAGCTGTCAGGTCTGCACAGCTGTGTCAGTCCCTTGACCAGCCTCTGAGTGAATCATGCCCAGGCACTGCCTAAACAGAGTAGGCAGAAAGGGCAGGCAGAAGGGTCCGAAGTGAATCAGCTCACAAGCCCTGCTTTTCCTCAGACACCAGAAAAGGGATGCCCGATCCAGTCTTCCTCACGGCCTCTGAGATGGGTGCTGACTTGCACTAAGAAGATACTTTCATGACCCTCCTGCCCATTCTTCACCTTCCAGTCCAGAGAGCAGCACTGTGGGGTGCGGCATCTGACATTTGTGGTCAAGGGAAGAGAGAGGGTCTGGACATGCAATTTAAGTGCCAGGTGTAAACCAAAATTAATTTTAGACTGTAATAAAGAATAAAAATCATTTATTTCAGCAAAAAGAAGCTGCACCTTGGGAGACACAGATTTAGGTAGCAACGTAAATTGTGTTCCACCAAGACCAATGGGAGGCCTCCTTTTATAGCAAAAGTGCCCACCCAGTTTCTCAGTTAGGCCTGTTTTATGTAAATGAAGTATTCAAATTTGTGCACTTCTGGTTGGTCCATATCTCACAGTCCTGATTGTTCAGCATTACGCGTCCTAGTTAGTCGTTATGGAACTGTTCTGATTGGTGGGGTAAAGGAGCAGGGCATAGTGTGGGAAGCCGACAGGTCAGTGTGAGATTCTTCCCCATATATAGAGTATGTGAGAAGCCCCAGTCAACAAATGGACACTAGGCCATTGTTATGATTTATAAAATCTGAGCCTTCGGTTGACCACAGGGACTCCATCTCAGCAGATAAATTCCTTCTCAGGGTTCACATCAGATGAATCTTTCTTTTCAGGGTCCACATTTTATTGCAGCATTTGAGGTAGTTGGATAGTGGATTAAAGAAAGATGCATGGGGATTCAATTTGCAGCAAATAAGCAGCTTCAAATTCCATACTAGCCTCCCCAGAAACCCTTTCTGCCTCACTGCCACTGAGGGTGTCTTAGTGACCCATCACCTCTGGTCCCTCTCCTTTCTGTCTGCCTCACTATTCTTGCTTCTCCCCTGACATCCAAGAGGGGAAAAGAAGATACAAATGGGCTCTCCCAATCTTCTGCAGAACAACCCTTCTCCTCCAGCAACTTAGCTCTTGCTGAACATATATCTTGGGCCCCACTCACCCTCTCTCCCAAGCAGCTTATCCAGTCATTTACACACACACACACACACACACACACACACACACACACACAGAGTTTCCTCTCCAAAAGGAATTCTAATGCCAATTCTTAAAATAATGGATTTTTCATTTCTTTACATGTATGAAAATAAAAACTGATTGTCCCACGTGGAAGGGGTTAGTGTCTAATATGGCCACCCTCCATACAATGAGACATGTTAAAAAGTATATAATCAAGGTTTAGAACAAAACGAGAGGAGTCCGTGGATATGCCTGTCATCCTTTGAGACACTTTTCCCACATAGGTGCTAGGGGATTTGTGGAGACAATAAATGGCTGTGAGTTCTCAGCATACAACCTGCTCAACATTCTCCAGTCCTAACCTGTGGCCTACAAGGCACTTTGTGTCCTGGGTATACTGTCAGAGGAGGGCCGAGCAAGGATGGCAGTACCACTCTGCACTGAAAAGAGAAGTTTACTGGTGCCACAATCCTCATGGCAGCACGTTCAACCAGTGTCCACTGCCCACACTGTTGAGAAGGTAGTGATCTCTTTTCATGGCATGGTGTATGCTAATGCTACCTGTTAGGGACGCTGGAGAAGGGCTCTAGCATTGAACACACATGAGTGGATGAGAGGACTTCTAAGGTGTTGGATCAACATATCTAAATGCTGAGATTTTTGAAGAGCATGTATAGATGGGTGGAGATAACAGAGCACACCTTTATTGTGGGCTGACATGCTTGTCTTAATCTCGTACTCCTCAAGCTTGTCTTCCTGTGATATCAATATCCACTTGTATTAGCTCTCATCCACTTATGTGTCCCCTCCCTGAGGCATAACCAGAACCAGAACCTGGGCTGCCTGGTTTTCAAAGCAGATGCCCCAGCAGCCCAGAGAGTTCTGGGGTACAGAGCAGGAAACTGCCAGTTAGGCAGATGAGTATGTGAGCATATAGTCATCTTGGTGATTGTGTTGCAGGTAAGAATGGCACAGGAGAGAACTGCCCAGGAAACAACTCTGTCTAGAATCTGCCATCTGTTCAGATACAAGCTGAGGATTACAGAGGAAGGAGAAAGACTGGATAGGGATGAGAAGAGAGTAACTGGCTCTTGGGCATGGGGTCACGCACTGCCAGCCCTATTCACATCCTTGAACACAGGACTCTCAGCCAAGACACAACCCTGTTAGATACATGTGAGCACAAACACACACATACCCCAATCTCATTGCTGCCCAGTCCCAATTATTCTGTGATTTGACAAGTTGTGCCAACCTGACTACTTCATATTTCTTTATATCTCTTATTTTCCTGAAAAGAGGCGAGCCATGGCCTCATGATCATGTGACAGCTTTTATTTGCTGACCCATCATTCATTGAACACCTACCAAGTGTCAGGTATTGGGAATACCAAGGAAGAAGTACAGTGAAAAAGAATACACAGAGAAATAATCCCAGTAGGAGTTAGAATATAGGTGTTGTCCAAGGGCTCTATAAGCCCAGAGGATTCAGAGAGGAGGTGAACAGGTAGAGAAGGACAAGAAGGGCAGAGGGATCAGTGTGAAAGCAAACATGGAGGCCCAGGAAGCCCTGATGGGTTCAGTTGGCCCACAGGTACTACCTTCTTTCTTTCCTCTCCCTTGTTTCTGCCTAATAAAATGCATCTCAATCTTCATATGGCTGGTTTAAATGATTTACACCTTCCTTTTGGTACGTACTGTTTTAACACTTCAAAATGGAGACTGATTTTGGACTGTGGAGGAGCCTATAATCATTGAGGCGTTATTCCCAGAATACAAAATCGCTCTAGGGACTAATGACAACTTCGTAAAAATTAAGTTTGTGTAATGATAAAGTTATGTAAATAAGGTGAGATTTTTCAGTTTTAAGGGATTCTTTGGTACTTTTCTGTTTGTCTAGATCTAGATACACACACATGTATGTACACATATACATATATATGTATAGATATGTATACATACACATATATACACACACACATTTCGTGGGAGAGTAGCACCTTAAAGGCCGCAGGACCATAGGGTTTTGCACTTAACTTACACCCATTAATATTTGATGAAGTAGAGCAAATCTCTACTGTGCCCATCCTGCTTTTTTTTATCATTGACCATTGCTCTCAGGAGTTAATATTTGAACATGGCCATAAAGGAGTTGACAGATGCTGACCTATGGCCAATATTCAAAGGGGAAAAAGGCTCCTATAAATCAGGCCACACTGGACCTCTCTGCCAGCAGAGCTACAGCTCATCTGTGGAAGGAACCTCACCGCCACCATGAACTTCTCCGGCAAGTACCAGCTGCAAAGCCAGGAAAACTTTGAGGCCTTCATGAAGGCAGTCGGTGAGTGCTGGGCTGGACGCCAAGGCTGGGGGTAAAGGCAATGAAGGTCTGGCCCTGCAGGTGGTGATGAGTCACCAACGTGGGCTCGATGTTGGGATGGGAGGACAGGTTCAGGCTTTACACAGACTGGGGCCAGGTTATGCATGTTACTTTCGCAGTCACTTGCAGCTACTCCATAGGTAAGTGAAAAAAGCACTAAACTGAGTGCTCTTTGGGGTGTGATTTGGATTGAAGCCACTTCTGCTGGTACCTCATTGTGTAACCCTGTTCATTCATTCATTCATTCTTCTAACAAACATTGATTCAACCACATTCTGAGCACTGTGCTGGACAGATACCAAGGAAACAGATAACAATGAGCCACATTTCCAAGGGCACAGTTTAGAGAGAGAAAAAGAGAAGAAATAAATACAGTAAAGGATCCCCTACTGTGTACTGTACTGAGTGCTGACTTGGTGCCAGGCACTGTGATAAGCCCTCGATATGCCATATCTCATTGAATCCTCAATTAAAAAAACCTCTGAGTTGGGTACTATTATTTTTCCCATTCTACAGTTAAATTAACTTAGGTTTAGACAAGTTAAGTAATCTTGACTATCAAGGTCACTTGTGTAGGAAATGTTTTCATCAGGAACTGAAACAGGTGCTGGTTCCCAGAGACTCCACTTTAATCTTCTGTGCCCTCACAGAGGATTGTACAGGAGGATGTGGTGCTCATGGGAGGGCATGGAGGGGAGGCTTGATGGTGGGGAAGGTGAGCAGGCAGGTGTCTATGAGGGGACTGGGAAAGGGGATTGTGCTCCAGGTAGAGGGAGCCTTATGAGCAAAGGAGCAGTGAGACAAGGAAGGGTGCCAAGAGGGAGAAGGGTAGGGAAGACAGCTAAGGCAGAGAGAGGAGGACCTTTGGGGCCAGCAGAGAGCTTGGATCTTCTTCTGTAGGGTAAGTCATGCCACCTCTCTATGTCTCCCATCCCTCGCCTGTTCAGCAGGACCCTCCACTCCTGCTGTCAACAAACATGGTTTTGAGAACCTCAATCCATATAACACCATAGACATGCTCTGGAATTTGTCATCTTCTGACCCAGGGCAAGGGACTCCTGCTGCAGTTTCTTCTAGAGCCCTGATAGCAGAGGTCGAGGTAGAGCTAGTTGGACAGACGTTTGCCAGGACAGTCTCAGTGTGCACATGGTGTCCTGGCATAATTATTAATAGCTCCCCCTCTCACTCCCAGGAATGACCTGGCTTGGAAGGTAAACTGTATTGGTCAACCTGGGTATGGAGGGTGCAATGCTTATACTCAGAGAGCAAAGTCTCTGGGTGTTAAAGGAGAAGAAGTGAGGAAGGAGAGTGAGCAAGAACCAATGTTCTCACTAGGGAAGTTCTTTAGGCCAGAGGTGTGTCCTTTTTATAAACCAACTGGCAAGATAGTGGGTAGGCCAGGGCAGGCCACTGATCTTCCCTGTCAGAGGGCAAAGCCCACACTGCTCACAGGACCCCAGTACACGCCTGTGGCCTCCAGGAAGACACAGCACCTTCTTCTCCTCCTCCATACCACAAAGTTTCTCTTGTGACCACTGCCTTGCTACTCCTACATCTGCCCATCTCTAAACCTCACGTGGTTTCCATTAGGGCTGCCTGACGACCTCATCCAGAAGGGGAAGGACATCAAGGGAGTGTCAGAAATCGTGCAGAATGGGAAGCACTTCAAGCTCACCATCACCACCGGCTCCAAAGTGATCCAAAACGAGTTCACCTTGGGAGAGGAATGTGAGCTGGAGACCATGACTGGGGAGAAGGTCAAGGTAGGAAATGCCCTTCAAGCCACACTCTGCTTCTGGAACTTTCCCTGGAACCTGGTCCCAGGGCTTCCTCCCTCAGGCTTCCACCTCACAATTCCCACCATGGATACCCTATCTATGAACCCGCTTCTGGGGTGAGAGACAGAGAGACAAAGACAGCTCTTAGGGAAGAAGCTCTTAGGGAAAATGCTCACATTTTCCCACATCTGTCTAGGGATGCTCTGGCCTAAGAATCTGAGCTCTCCTAAAATGGAGGATATAGGGGAGCCAGGCACAGAGCAAAAGTCTAAGTCTCAGGTTCTCTGGGCCCAACAGTGGGCAAGTGGGCATCAGTGAAAAACTCTTAACAGAGTCCTGAGGTCATCCTTGAGTCCAAAGTAAACTGGCCTTGGCTGGGCCTAGAGATGGTGGTCATAGGAAGTGTCTTCCTGGAGGAGGTGCTGGCAATACCAGAATACCAAGGCCCTAGGCAGACACTCAGACCATGCCTTCAGGGGTGGTGACTGAGCCCCTGGCCTTAGCTACGTCATCTGTAAAATGGACATAGTCACCCTTCCCAAACTGAAGGCAGGGCAACATCACTTCTGCTGGGCTGTGGTTCAAATGTGCAATGAGCTCTGTGTCTGGGTCATCTGAGTGGTCAGCAAGTGATGGCAGGAAGATCCAGTCACTGGGGTTACCATCACCAGGAGCCTCTCTTTCTCCCTTATGGGTTTTTTGTTTTGTTTTGTTTTTTACTTACTAAAACATCAGTTTATTGTAAAAGGATATAATCAGAAACAGCCAGATGGAAGAGGTATATGGGGCAAGGTATGTGGGAAAGGGCTTGGAGCTTCCATGGCCTTCCAGCATGACACTCTCCCCAAATCTCCACTTGTTTACCAACCCAGAAGCTCTCTCTTCTTTCTCCCTTTGAAACTCCACATACCCCAGGAAAGCCAACACCACTGAGCAGCCATCTTTGCTTCTCCCTTCCAGACACCTTTGTGCACTGGACTCAGCCCATTGGTCTTTTTACCTCTTCTCATCACTCTTTACTTCTGCTTCTCCAAATATAACATTACAGGTCAGAAAATCTGTGATAAATTTTAGGACGGACATGCCCATAGTAAGGGGAAGACGGTCATGGGTTTTACCACAGGCTTTTTCCAACTGTTCACTTTGGAAGCAAATTTTTTTTTTTTTTAGATTTTTAATTTATTTTTTTATTGGGGAATTGGGTGGATGGGAACAGTGCTGGGGAATTGGGGGAAGGGAAACAGACAAGTTGCTGTCCTTTTGTTCTTCAGTCTAGTTATGGAGGACGTTACTTCACTGGCCCAAGTTGGCACCATCATTGCGCTCTTCCCGGGTGAAGCAGATCAGTCGCCGGCTTCTGGACGGCCACTCACTGCGGCTGCTGGGTGCTCACGCTGGCTGCTGGCTACACACGGTAGCCCATGGCAACCCACTGCCACAGGGGCTGCAGCCTACGCTGTTGCAGGCAACTCACGGCAGCCCAGCTCCAGGTTGAGCTGTTGCTCAGCATCTTAGCTGTAGAGGGCAGTGTCACTGGCCCTCATATGTAGGATCCGAACCGGGGCCCTCTGGCATCCCAAGCCAGTTCTTAACCATCGCGCCACTCGGCCGGCCCTGGAAGCAAATTTTTGACCAGTGTCTTCTGCTCCCAGCTGGGTTTCTGTTACCTCTTCCTGGGTTTCTGTTACCTTTTCTTTAATGCATGAAGCTTTAAAAGGATACATCACTAAGAAAGATAAACATGCTGGAAGGAATAATGCATACCAAAACAAAATATGTTTTCTCCCCACTGGCCAGTATTTTAAATTTTGCTGCCACCTCCCTCTATTAACTTAGAGAATTGAGATTTTACTTCAGTGTTTTCATGTAAACCACTTAGATGTCTTATGCTGATTTCTAAATCACATACCATATATTAAAAGCCTGACAAAAGAAGCCTTGACATTCTCTATAGTTCTTCAATGCACCTCACTTCTGTTTAGAGCCAGAGAGCTGGGAGGTGGCCTTATATAACCACGTGGTTTAGTTGTCATAAGCAGAGGCCCGTGCAGTGGAGCCATCCTCATTGGCAAAGGTTTTGCTCCCTGCCCAGACCCTTCCTCACAGGCTATCTCTTCTGTCCCCTGCAGGCAGTGGTTCAGATGGAAGGTGACAATAAACTGGTGACAGCTTTCAAAGGCATCAAGTCCACTACCGAACTCAACGGAGACACAATCACTAACGTAAGTTGGTGCCCCTGAGCTTGAGGGGAGAAGAACAGCTATCCCCACCACCTTCCTTGTTGTCAATCTCTGCTACCACTTACTGAGGACCCATTATGTACCGGGCAGTTTACATTCATTATCTCTAATCTTCCCAACAAATTTGAGTTTCCTAATGGGGAAACTGAGGCAACAAAGAGCCAGGGAATGGCAGAGCTAGGGTTCCTCTGAATGGGGTCTGTTTCACGGGGCTGCCATCCACAGTTGTACACTGCACAACCTTTGGTAGAGTCACTCCCATTGCAGACAGTTTAGATTTGTGTACTTATTACAATTTTGCAATGCCTGCCAGTAGGGAGTATTGTTCTGACAAAACCAATACAGTGCATTAGGGTACCTTTCCAACAGTTAGAAGAATAGAATCTTGAAGAAGGGGCACCCTTTTCTAATTCACCTAAGACTCCCCATGTGCTGGTAGCAGCCCCTGCTGGCACTTCCCACCTCTTCTAGGTTCCTTCAGGCTGCCTGTCCCTCCACCACCACTTTCCTGGTCAGGCTTGGCCACTGCAACCTCCCCCATTTCCTTCTCTCCTCATTACCATCCCCCTCCTTCACCAAACTCAAATAAGACGGGGCAGAAGAGCTCAGTAGAGGGAGACAGAGGGTCATGTAGAGCTACCAGCACAGTCCACCTTTCTCAGTTTCCACTGGGATGGAGCCGCAAGACACACTTACAGGCTAGAGGGCAGGCATCTATTCATGCCCTCCTATGGGCCTCTGATTTGTGGAATAACCCTTCCCGTTGATGCAGAACCCACATGCAAGGAAGGCTTTGTTTGACCAAAAGTTGGGCTCGTTGATTGCTTAGTCTATTTTATGATGTTGCAGTAATTATTAGCCATAAGCCTTCTCTTCTGCCTCAGCACTAACCAAGAAGCCACGGAGACCTCCATGTGTCCTGCAAGCCCAGGGCACTCAATAAATGCCTTTGCCCTTTTGGTATTTATAAAGAGAATCATATTCATGGCCACCGTATGGCAGCTTATGAATCTGGCACACTGCAGTTGTGTGTGCCATATCATCCTTGGTGATATCCTGTCTGTCAGCCACAGCCTGTCCCTGATTCAGTGCAGTGTTTCTCCATCAGTTATGTTCCCCTGGCTCTTTCTTGTCCACAGGCTGTGTTTTAGGGAGTAACAGGAGGCAGAATGCTGCCCAAGGAGTCTATCATCTCCAAGTTCCAGTGGAAAAAATTTCTCAACTAGGGAGAGTGCGAGAGTCAACCATGAAACATGTGGTCCCCAGGCCTGACCCCAGCACATTCACGGCAAAGCAGGGAGGCACCAGCAGGGGAGCAGGAGATGATCTGTCCTGACCAATGTCCTTTAATATTCTCTATCTTCTCTAATCCTCCTATCTCTTGCAAGGGAGGAAGGATGAGGAATTTAATAGACAGGTTGACCTGCCCAAGTTCATCCAGCTAATGAGTTGTAGAACCAGAGTTCAGACCTAGATCTTTCCATTCCATTCCATTGCTGCTGAAGCTAAGGAACTCCTTTTTAACTCTGATGACATTACCCCCACATCACTGCCACAATCTTGTTCACAGCAACCAGTGGGATGGAGGGGTAGGGTGAGAAAGGAATATGCCTCAAAAACTCAGAAATTGATGAACCCAATAAATCCAATGTTTTTACATGCTTCACAGCTTTGGGAAGAAAATTATGCTCTACCTACTATGTTCTACACTGAGTGCCTAAATGTTTCCACAAACATGTGTCTTTGCTATTCAACACATGTTTGGTACATATTAGGCACTCAATGGAACTTTGAGAAATTGGATTGGACTAGACTGGTTTGGATGGTCTTGCTCTAACAGCCATTGATGTAGAAAGGAATCCAATAAAAGGCAGGACAACTTTCCACATGAGGAAGTAAAGTGACAAAGACTTGGCATGGGATTTTAGAAAAAATTGCCAATACTTCCTCTGGTCCTATAGAAAACAGAGGAATCTTTGGGTTGTTTCATATGTTAGTATATTTAGAGCTATTTTAATAGCTTAATTATCTTTTACAATTCAACCTCAGATTAACATTGCATGATTTCTTTTTTGACTTTCAGACCATGATATTGGGTGACATTGTCTTCAAGAGAATCAGCAAGAGAATTTAGACAAGCCTGCATTTCATATACTTTTACTGTGTAAAATTAATGTAATAAAGTAAACTTTGTTTTTAAAAAAAGTCTTTTCTTCTTAATGGGCTTTCATCAATGGAGATATTGGTATGAGTAAGCACTGATCACCTATATTTTTGTAAACTTTGATAATCTGCATTTTCCATCCTAACTGGGTCAGGTCTGAAACAGACCCTAGGCTACCCCCTCAGGTGACCCTACAAGGAACATGAAATATGGCTGGATCTGTAAAACAGCCCTGGAAATGACCTTTCCTAGGAGCTGGGAGGGTATGTGGTATGCTGGCCCTAAGGGTGGCTCTCTGTGGGGACAGAGAGCAGGACTGCTGGGCAAATAAAGAAGAGCTATGCCCATGAGTATGGGCCCAGTGGCCCCACCCACCAGTGGGCATGAACAAAAAGAGCAGGAACTGATCCACCAAATGAACAATTCTCCATCCTAGGAGAGGGCTGAGTGAGGAGCTCAGCCACAGGTGCCAGAAGTAGACAGAGGAAGCTTGGGAGGAAATTCCCTTCATGCTGTGAGCAGAGGCAGAATGTAAGAGAAGAATGATTTCTCTGAACAGTACTTGGTACCAGACCCTGGTAGTTGTTACACGTTAAATTGCATCTCCCTAAAATTCACATTTTGAAGTCCAAACCCTCAGTACCTCAGAATGTGCCCTTATTTCAAAATAGAGTCATTGCAGATGTAACTAGTTAAAATGAGGTCATATGGGCGTAGGGTGGTCCCCTAATCCAAAATGGCTGGTATCTTTATTAAAAGGGGAAATATGGACACAGAAACACCTACACGAGGAGTACACCATATGAAGACTGGAGTTATGCTGCCTCAAGCCAAGTAACTACCAGAAGCTAAAAAAGGAGCCTGGAACAAATCCTTCCCTTCAGAGGGATCGTGGCTCTGCCATGACCTTGCTCTCAGGCCTCTAGCCTCCAGACTATAAGCTAGTAAATTTCTGTTGTTTAGGCCACCCAGTCTGTGGTATTTTGTTATCTAGGCATCCCTAGCAAACCAATACAGTGTTCATTCTCCATCTCCAAAGAGCTGCCAAGCTCTGACATCTTTATCTCATCATACCTTTCAGCTTCCAGACCTGTGCCCACCTCACAAAAAGCTCCCAACAAAGATGCTCTTTTAGAAAAACCCAGTTTTCCTCTTTTACTTTCACAGAGAACACTTCATTTTGACACTTCTTATCACCACATGTGTGGGGTTATTTCCCCACACCAAGCAATTTTAGGACACTGACAGTGACAGGTTACAGGCTCAGTCCTTTGAGAATGCCACCCTCCCACATACTTCAGATTCCAATCGCAAGTAGTGGGCCCCCAAGTTCCCTACAACCTCTGTCCAACTTGGCTACAAATTGCAGGTTCCCATGACCTCCTTCCCTTTGGATCTGATTATTGCTAGAACAGCTTACAGAACTCAGGGAAACATTCATGTTTATCAGTTTATTAAAGAATATAATAAGGGGTGACCAGTTAGCTCAGTTAGTTGGAGCGTCATGCTGGTGGCACCAAGGCTGCCAGTTTGATCCCCGCGTGGGCAACTGTGAGCTGCACCCTCCTTAAGGGAGTCAACTCTGCCATTGTAGCACGAAAACAATGTGTAACCAATGATCATGGCTGTTTCCTAATAAAATTTTTTTTAGAAAAGAATATAATAAAATATACAGATGGACATCCAGATTAAGAAACAATGGGGTGAGGTCTGGGAGGGTCCCAAGCACAGGAGCATATTTCTGTCCCTGTGGAGTTGGGGTGCATCGTCTTCCCAGTGCATGAATGTGTTCACCAACCTGGAAGCTCTCTGAGCCTAATACTATTAGGATTTTCATGGAGGGTGCCTCATGTAGGCATGATCAATTATTAACTCCATTTCCAGCCCCTTTTTCTTCTCTGAAGAAGGGGAGGTGGCTGAAAAATCCCACACTTATTTTGAAATAGGGTCATTGCAGATGTAACCAGTTAAAATGAGGTCATACTAGAGTCAGGCAGTCCTCTAATCTAATATGGTTAGGTTTTCTTATGGCTTGGTCTTTCTGGTGACCAGCCTCCAACCAGGAGCCCACCCAAAGTCACCTCATTAGAACAAAAGATCCTTCTAATGCTCTTATCACTTAGGAATTTACAAAGGTTTTAAGAACCTTGGGTCAGGGACTAGGGACGAAGACCAAATATATATACTTATTATAAATCACAATATCACAAATGCCTTAATAAATGAATGAATCTGTCACATTTCCCCGACTCTTCTTTTCCAACTTATGGAATTGAAACTCAATTACTTGTTACTTAGATTGTTACACAGACCACCTAAGGCATCTATCTCCCTGCCTCTCTCTCTATTAACTGCAAACCTCCACCCTGGTAATAGTCATCTTCCTTATAAACAGTGCTGATTATGCTTCCTAGTTCATTGCCAAGCACATAAAAGTCGAGCTCCTAAACCTGTATTCAAGTCTCTACATCATGGGTCAGTCAACGTTTACCATAAAAGCTAGACAGTAAATATTTTCAGCTTTGTGGGCCATCCAGTCTCTGTCACAACTCCTCAATTCTGCTGTTGTAGCACAGCTGCAGCCACAGACAATACACAAATGGTCATAGCTGTGTTCCAATAAAACTTTATTTATCAACACTGAAATTTGAATTTTATATCATTTTTGTGTTATAAAATAATAGTCTTCTTTTGATTTTTTTTAATCATTTACACATGTGAAAACCATTCTTAGCTCATACATTATACAGAAACTGGTGGCAGCCATATCTGATCAAAGGATGGTAGCTTGCCAACCATTGCTTGATCATAGTCTGTTCCACCTTATCCAGCTCCACACCCTTTCCTATAATAAACCATTCACAAAAATAAATCCCAGATGAACTGAAGAGATAAATGAATAAATGTGAACTATTAGAAATAGATATGATGATAGATAACTTGAATTATTGAAGATCTTAAACATAGTGCAAAACCATGAAGAAAAAGATTAATTCATTTTACTACCTCAAAATTTTTAAATTTTATATGAAAAAAAGACACAGTAAACACAGTTTCAAAAAAAGCAACAACATGGGAGAAAATCTTTGTGGCTTACATAACAGAGGTTAATAAACAGAATATAAAAGCCTCCCCCAGGGCCAGCCGAGTGACTCAGTTGGTTAACAGCATTCTGAGCAACAGGGTCTCCGGTTTGATTCCTGCATGGGCCAGTGATCTGTGCCCCCGCTGAGCTGCTGCTGAGCTGCCAACAGGCGGCAGGATGGCTCAGCTGGTGAGAGCACGTGCTCTTAACAACAAGGCTGCTGGTTCAATTCCCACTCAGGATGGTGGGCTATGCCCACCCGCAACTAAGATTGAACATGGCACTTTGAGCTGAGCCGCTGCGAGCTGCCAACGGGCAGCCAGATGGCAACTGGACTTGGAGCTGAGCGAGCTGCACCCTCCACAACTAAGATTGAAGGACAACAACTTGGCTGTTCCCCTTCCCAAACTCCCCAATAAAATTTCAAAAAATAAATAAATAAAAGCCTCCCCCAAATTAATAAGAAGAGCAACAAATCAACAGAAAGGTGGGTTGAGGACATTAATAAGGAATTCACGTTATGAAATACGTTTAGTCTTATAGTAATCAGGAAGGAGCGATATAAGATGAGGTATAATTTTACAAATCAAGCTAGTAAAAAGATTGATAACATCCAGTGTTTGCAAGGTAGTGGAGATGTAAACTGGTACAGCCCATATGGAGTACCATTTAACAGTATTCATTAATCTTTTCAATGTGAATTCCCTAACACCTTAGCAATGCCACTCATATTTCTCGAGAGAAATGTTTAAACATATGCATAAAGAAGCAACAGCCGGGCCGGCCAAGTGGCTCAGCTGGTTAAGAGCTCACTTGGCAGCGCCAGATGTGAGCAGCAGGGCTGAGGTTCAGATCCCACATTGAGGGCCAGTGACGCTCGCCCTCTACAGCTAAGATGGTGAACAACAGCTCGACCGGAGCTGGGCTACTGTGAGTCGCTGGCGACGGCGTAGGCTGCAGCAGGGCTGCAGTGGGCTGCTGTGAGCTACGTGAGTGACTGGCAGCCAGTGTGACCAGCTGGTAGCCGGTGTGAGCTACCGGGAGCCGCTGTAAGCGGCCGACCAATGACCGGCGACCGATTACCTCACCCGGGAAGAGCACAATGATCATAACAACATGGGCCAGTGAAGCGACGTCCTCCACAACTAGGCTGAAGAACAAAACAGCAATTTGTCTACCTGTCTGTACCCTTTCCCTGATTCCCCAACGCTGTTCCCCTCCTCCCGATTCCCCAATAAATCTTTAAAAAAAAAGAAGCAACAGCCAAAAGGATATAAAGGATGCAACAGGCAACAACTAAAAAATTATTTATATTTATATATATATATATATATATATATATATATATATATATATATGACCATGGATGGTTGTAACAACAGATAATAGCCATTATCCTACAGTGGAAACAAGGATTGGGTGGGGGACCAAGAGAGCTTTTTGCATTATTTGTATTGTTTGAATCTGTCACAAGACAATAATTCTGTGAAACTTTTTTTAAATGAACAAAAAATGTTATTTTAAATTTAAAGTAAATTTTGATTTAAAGCAAAAATTTGGGGCTCCAAGATATGGTTCTAGTTCACCAATCCACAGTTTTGGACCTCAGTTTTCTAATCTGTGAAGTGGACATTACAATGCCTTCTTTTATGGCTTTGATAAGGAGCCTATTCAATGATGCAAGTGCCATCCAAAGGAAACATGTCATTATTACTACTTGGATTCCTCAGGGAACTGAAGCTGGGTTTGACACTGAGACCATTAGCAGAAGCTCTGTTATGCCCAGGGAAGCATCAGTGAGCAAATGAAGAGGCACAGAGAGAAAAAAAAGTTTGCTGAGGACCACTCAGCTGATAAATGATGGAACCGAGGCCCTCTGACTCTCAAGCCACTAGAAACAAGGTCATCTCTTCAGCAAAGCCTCTAAAGAGCTGAAAAAATTCCCAAAGCCTCCCGCACCTGGCTTTAGGAGGAGATTGTTTATATGTTTTTGCCTGGCAAGGAGAATAAATTTTAGATGTTGAATTTGGATTTTGTACAGGTGCCCAAAGAATTCTGGGCCTGAAGCCTGCTTTAGATAAATTGACTAAACAGCTGTTGATAGCATCAGCTGCTTCTACCGTGACCCCTGTTTCCTCCTGACCCTTCCCCCTTCTCTCTGGCAGTCCTGTGTGCATCCCACGAACAGAGAGCTCTCCTTCCCCTGAGATCCAATTGATTTGAGAAGAGCCAGTTTTGGTGTCTATATCCACACACAAAAGTAGACATTTCTGTTGGTTTTCTGTTCTTTTTTATTTTTTAACGGATTGCCATTAGAGTAAAGAAAGTGATTTTTTTTTTCAGGAAGGGGGCATCTCATTTAGTCCATACTTAATCTTCTGAGCACTTTTCCTATACATACTAGAGGTATGTTGACTATCCCATGATTTTCTAGTATTTCTTACCAGAAAACCATGGAGGCATGGAATTACGTCTATCTTCTTTACAAACCCAGCCGTATTCAGCCAAATCAGGGCTGGACAGCACTAAGCTCTGAGGGGACAATGATTCCTGGGAGATTTGCTGTCTAGCAGGGCGACTAACCCATAATCCATATGGCGACAGTATGATCCGTGCCATGGTGTTGGTGTGTACAAGCTCCTAGGAAAACATCTCATAGGAGGGAACATTTCAGCTGACTCACAAAGCATCTAAGGGTATTTGTTTGGCAGGGAAGTGTGGCATAAATGGGGGCTTGGCAAGAGATGAGGCAGAGAAGGACAGTCTCTAACATGAATATCCTTTTACTCTGGTAAGGAGTTTGGACTTGATCCTGGAGACCGTGGGGTATCATTGAAGGATTTTCAGCTACAAGAATAGCATTGTACCAAGTGCATCGCAGAAAAGTTATTCTGGCCATGGTGTTGAGGATAATGAAAAAGGCCAAGACTGAATACAGAGAGACCATTAAGAGACGGTGGCAATGGTCCAGGTAAGAGATGTTGAGGGCCTGAACCAAGGCAGTGCCTGGGAGGACGGAGCAAAGCAAAAAGGTTCAAGAGCGTTTAGGAATTAGAACCAATGGGCTCTGGTGACTAGATGTGAGAAGTGCATTAGAAAGATATATGTCAGGGATGTATCCACAGGAAATACAAAAGGGCTCTCTTGATGAGAATTTAATGCCAGCACCATTTACAAAGGTATAGTTAAAGGAAGCCGACAAGGCAAGTGAGATACCCAGGGACTAGCAACCACAGAAAGCCATTACCACCCATAGGCCTGAAGGGGAAACGTGGGGGACAGCATTACTGGAACTCAGTGAGATCTGGCGCCATCAAAGAGCCACCCAACAGGAACTGAACACTGGCTGAGCAGGGAGGGGGCAGGGAAGAGGGAGTGCAGTAGGGAATGACACTGAACCTCTCTCTCCTTCTATCTTCCTATCTCCTGCAGAGATCAGCCTTTATGGGCACACAGCAGGGAAGAGAAGGACAGAGAAGGAACTAGGGGTGGGCAAATGGAGACAAACCAACATGATGGGAACTCCTTTAGTTGCAAGTGAAAGAAAGCCATTTAAACTGGCTTAGGCCAAAATTAAAGTGGGGTGGGGGGAAGAGGCAGTTCAGTGACTCATCTAACTGGAAAGACCAGGTGAATCCAAAGCCTTCCAACAATGTCATCAATACTTTTCTCTCTCCTTATCAACTCTTTTTTCTCCCTCAGTGCCAGCTATATTCTTCCAGAACGTTCCAAGCTGCAGTGAGTATGAGTACTAGCACCTCCAGGGTCACCAACTGAGAGCGGGTATTCCCAGAGAACAGCAGGACTCCTCTTTCTCCAATTCAGAAGGGCTCTGGCAAGGGTACAATTGCCTGGCCCGAGTCACATGCAGTGGTGCCCTGGAGCCAGACAGCACCAGCTCCCAACTCAACATACAGCTTGGTAGCCACGGCCATGATGGGAGTGTTTACAATCCGGAAATCAGCAAATGTTACAAATCAGGGCTCTTCCTAACATTGCTGTTAAGTATTTACCAGCATACCGCTGACTCATGGGCCATCACTGTATGTCAGGAAATGCTGTGCCATGATGAGTTCAGCCTGGGTCCTGAGCCAACCCATCCTGAGCCGCCCCCTAAGAACCTCAGCATGCACACAAATGTCTCTAGCAGAAAGGTTGGTACTGTTTTCAGAAATGGAGAGATGTTGGGCTGAAAAGACAAGCTTCAGAAGCTTCTTACAGGGGGTGAAGAAGAGGGAAACCTCTAAGTTAATATCCCAGATCTTGGGTAACTAGGTGGATGGTGAGGTGGTGAGTAGAGGTCTGGAGGGAAATGATGGGTGAGTTCAGCTATAGATTGGTTAAGTATGAATGGCCTGAATACCTACTACCATGAGGAAGGCAAAATTCCTTCCCTCGAGAAACATACACTCTAACAAGATAGGTGGTAAATAAAGTGCAAAAAAACTGCCTTACATGGCCAAATATAAGTGCCACCAAAGGACACAATCCACGTACCTGGAATTCTATCAGCTGCTTCACACTGCAGTTCCCCGCGCTGCCCCAGCTCTTTGTCCTACCCAGGAAGGTGCGGGTCTACAGAGGGATTTCACAATGTCATACCTGCCCAAGGCAGGTGAGCAGAAGGGAGGCAGTGAGACAGGGCTGTGATGTGCTAAGTAGAATTTAGAAACTCAGTCTGGGTGAATGTGGAAGAGAAAGAAGGCAAATTGGACATGGTTGTCAATGGAATGTATAGGAAGGAAGATTCATTCTCCTGCAGCCTGGAAATCAGGATTTGAGTCCCACGTCTTCTGCTCAGAGGTTTGCAGCTGTGCCTGCATGACTGGTCTGAGGGCTTGATAGCAAGACTGATAGGTAGGCAGAATGATGGCCTCCAAAGATGTCCACGTGCAAACTCCTAAACCGGTGAATGTATTACCTTACATGGCAAAAGGGATTTTGCAGATGTGATTAACGTAAGGACCTTGAGAGGGGGAGATTATCCTGGATGATCCCAATGGGCCCAAAATAATCACAAGTGCTCTTATAAGTAAAAGAGGAAGGCCAGAGGGTCAGAGAAGGAGGGGCGCAACTGCTGACAGGGGGCCACAAACCAAGGAATGTGGGCCTTCTAAAAGAAGCTTTTAGAAGTTAAAAAAGGCTAGACACAGATTCTTCCCCGAGAGCCTCCAGAATGAACCCAGCTCTGCTGACACCTTGATTTTAGCCTTGTGAGGCCCATGTTGGACTTCTGACCTCCAGGACTATAAGATAATACATCTGTGTTGTTTAAGCTCCTAAGTTTGTGGTAATTTGTTATAGCAACAAGAGGGAACAAATACAACGCCTAAAGATATCCAGGAAACTGTAGCACTATGTCTGGATGAGAATGTTCTCAGACCACGTCATGTGAAGTGGGGAGGCTAAGGCTGATACTGAGGACTGAGCTCATGCCAGATTTAGTGAAGTCATATGTTGGCCTGTGGTCATGCTGCTTGCTGTGCTTCTCTGAGACTGATGAGGTGCTCCTGCACAATGTGAGATTAGGTGGCTTTTATGCAATGCTGGGCCAGGGAGGGCCAGAGAGTTTCCAGAGTGCTGGTTACCTGCACATATTGGATGTCATCATCCACAACTGTGCACACCGTGGTCCAGAAGCTTGCACCTCTGACTGCCCTCAGAAATGTTGCTATTCTCTCTGCTGTGTACCCCAACTATATGGATTCCCTTCTTCAGCCTTTAAAAGATGTAAACCCTGAGCAATCCACCAAAGCAGTGGCTCTATCTGGCCTTTAATACGTGTGTCTGTCCATACATTGGTAGTGTAGTGGGCAGGTGGCTTGTTCTGAAGGGTAGTAATGAGAGGTCTTACACTTGTTTGTTATCCTGGGGGTAGGGATTTCAGAACCTGGGGGTAGGGATTTCAGAACATAGATCTTGCCCCAGTTTAACTAAAGATTTCTTTAATGGTCTTTATCCAGTCTGCTACTGTATCAAACCCCAATCTTACTGATTGGCAGCACTACAAATTAATGTGTTCTTCTAAAGTTAAGCCAATTACCACGGTGCAAATATTCGTACCATGGCCAATGTCAAGCTATCAAAGTGATGTGGATGAATTCAGAGTTGGGAAGAGATGTGCACAGTCAGCTCATACAAGCTGGTAAGAGCTGCTTCCAGCACACCACTGCGTATCTTTACCCTTTACTTTCACTTTCTGATTAGGAAAACAGACACCCCAACTGAAGCATGGTGGGAATGCTCATGGAGTGCTTAGGACGGGCCAGGCACTGTTCTAAGGGCTTTACATTTAAAAAGTTTAATCCTCACAGCAACTCTATGTGGTAGGTGGGAATGAGGAACCTGAATCATGGGTGAAGTAACCAGTCCCAGCTAACAGCTTGTGATATGAATTTAATTAGTCTCAGTGTCCAGAATCTTAAAAACTACACTAAAGTATTCTCTAAAATTGCACTAATACAGTTGCCATTAGCCACATTGGCTATTTAAATTTAAATTAAATAAAATTAAAAATTCACTCCCTTATTCATACATACATATATATATAATTCATATATATATATATTATTACTTTTTTTATTAGTTTCAGGTGTACAAAGCAACATAATAGTTAGACATTTACACCCCTCACAAAGTAATAACCCCCCTCCCCCAAGCTGCTACCCCTCTGACATCTTATACACCTGTTACAATACCACTGAGCAAACAAAACAGAAATAGACTCAGAGACATACCAGACATATTTCAACTGTTTAATAGTCATATGCCACTAGCGGCTACTATATTGGACAATACAGATATACGTGTAATACATTTCCATCATCACAGAAAGCTCTGTTAGACAGTGCTACTCTAAATAGATTGTAGAAAGAAAGAAAGAAAGAAAGAAAGAAAGAAAGAAAGAAAGAAAGAAAGAAAGAAAGGAAGAAAGAAACATATATTTGTATGGAAACAATGGATTTAATGGCCTTTGTTGACTGCTATAACATATTAATAAAAATTCAAAATACACAGTTGCATGTCTCTTCTGCTCTGAGATAGGCAAATTCATTCATGTATTCATTCATTCATTCAATACACATTAAGTGAGCACCTACTATGTTTCAGGACTTGTGCTAGTTCCTGGGGATAGAAAGATGAATAAGAAGACACAGCTCCTGCTCCCTGGGAGCTCACAATCTGATGGAGGGAAAACAAGTATAAAGGCAATTATAATGCCATGAGGAGAGAGTTATGATGTGAGATTCAAGGGTAATGTGAGATACTCAGACAGGCAGCCAGCTGAATCTAAGGCATTCAGGGGAGCCTTCACAGATGGGGTGATTTCCAAAATGGATGCTGAAAAATGGATAGAAATTGGCAGGTTTTGCGTATTTTAGATAGAAAACTCAACGAGAGGCACGGGAGAAGATGGGTCACTCAGGGATCCATGAGAGAGAAGGTTTGACTGAAGCCTGGGATGAAACAGAAGTAGAAGTCAGTTATCAGGTGATGTGCTGAGGAAGGACAAATGTGTGTGTGAGCGGGGGGGGGGGGGGGGGGGGGGGGGGGTGAGAAAGGAAAGAGAATAAATTTCATTTTGGATATGCTGAGTTTAATGCACCTGCAGAATGTTCAAGAGGGTGGGTGGGGCTGGAGCTCAAAAGTAAGGCTGGATTTAAGAATATCAGACTCAAGGTGGAGAGCAAAAATAAAGGGGCTGCTGAGCTCATGCAGGGAGTGTATGCAGACTGAGATAACGATAAACCAAGGGTGACCAGAATGAACAAAACCAACTACAGGAAAGACCAACAGGGACAGAGAAGACTGAGAAACAGTCTTGGATCCTCACAAGGAAGTGGTGTTCCAGAAATCAAGTGCTGGGAGTATCAACTGATGCAGAGAGGCCAAATAATGTAAGGACTGAAAAGTACCCACTAGAGTTGACCTTGGTCGGAGCTATTTTAGTGGAGTACAGAAGCCAACCTGCAGCGGTTTCAGGAAGAAATGGAAAGTGGAGAAAAGAAGCTAATGCCTATAAGAGACAAATCCTTTAAAAAAAATACTCAGCTGTGAAGATTATGATTGAAGAGTCCCCAGCATGTTTATTGACTGCACTGAAGAAGTCAGTGGACAGAGAAATGTCAAGGATCCAGGGTGAAGAAGGAGTAATAGGTGAAACAAGGCCCCGGGGGAAAAGGAGGGGAAGGCGTCCAGAGCACAGGCGGGGAGTTTAGCTTTGGAGAAGGAGAGGGGCTCCTGTTCTGTCTATTCCTGTATATGCACCATTCTGAAGAGGTTTCACTCCTCTGCATAAAACCTAAATGGCCCAAACACAGGCCCCTTTTCATAACTCCACACCTGCCTGAGGAAAGTGGACATCCCCCATCCTAGTCAGCCAAATCCTGACTATTCCAGACCATGGGTGAGACCAGCAGCCCCAGAGACACTTGCACAGATGGGTGAGCAGCCATCTAAGACTCTCCAGGCACGTGCCACCCTCAGTTCAGATGTCATCCCCTCCATGATACTCCATACACATAGACACACACACACACTGCACGCTCTACTGCACCCCCTCTCTCCATATAGTTTACCACTGCATTTATTATTACACAGCGCTTTGTTTATGTTTTGCCCACCCAGCTACTTTTGGAGCTTCTTGATCGCTAGGGGCTACCACCCAATAAACATTTTTAGTATGAGCTGAGCGGCACAATGAGTTAAATTGAACTGAACTGAGTTAAAATGAACCAAAATGACACTGGGGAACACAGAACAGTACATTCCCATAGCAACAAGGTTGAGCATTCCTCGGACTTCTTCATCAAGGGTCTTCCCAGAAACCCAATGCCTCCAGAATATCTCCCCAATTCCCCAGCCACGGCGCCCTCCACACACGCCAGGTCTCATTGCTTCTTATGGAACAGAGCCGGGGCTGGCTCGTTGCTGGGCTCGGCCATGACCTGCATGGGCTGGTTGTTCAGGGCAGCCTCGCGCATCTTGTGGTACATGAACTCGTTCTGGCGGAAAAGGCGCAGCTCCATCTCTGTCTGCACCCGCATGGCCTGTGGGACACAGACACACCATAAGCAGGGATGACAAGCCCCCAGGACATGTTGGTCTCTGACCTACCATGGCCCTTTTGTAAAGGGCAGACAATGGGGTAAATGACTCTCAGTCACCAAGATTCAACTGTACCCTCTCAGAAGACACACACAAAATGGGGGCCTAATGTCCTGGCAGTGAAATCAGTTTGTCAGGGAAGACGGAGTCAGACCCTTTAGAGAATGTATAGTGTGAGGGATTATTCTCAACAGAGGCTGTTTGTTTTCAGAAAGACTCAGGTGGGGACCTGGATTTGAACCCTGGCCCCTGCATTAGGCTCCACCCAAGATTGTGTAAGTGATTTAATCCCTTTAAGCCCTCAGTTTCCTCACACACAAAATGGATAAGATTCCTTCATACTTTACAATAGACCAGGAAGATTAGAGTATGTGACACACAAAAAAAAGCCCTCACTTTCCTATATGTCCCACTCAAGAAATATTTATCAAGGGCCAGGCATCATTGAGGGGCTGAGGATACAGCAGTGAATAACATTAACAGAAAGTGCCTTTGAGCCTTTGACAAGTTAATACACTAGACATAACATTTGTGTTCTCCTACATTTCATGACCCCAAAGTCGATCATCTTTCCCTACACAACACTGTCTGAGATCAGCGCTTTGAAGTCTGTCACTCTCCAATAAAGCAGCCCTTCAAAGCACAAAGGAAGCCAGCAGCTACAAAGAACAAGCCATTGGCCAGGCACTGTTCTCAGTGCTTTTCACATATTAACTCATCGAATTCTCGTTACAACCTTATCCTTTTCCTCCATTTTACTGATGAGGAGACTGAGGCCCACACATTCAATCTTTGCAGTCACCTAGCTAGAATGTGGTGAAACTGGAACTCAA